GGGGACAGGCTGTGATGTGGGGAGGGGACCTGCCATTGGGTCAGGGTGGAGTGGGTCCTGTGGGACCCTCCCGATGCTGGTCTGTGCTTGTGCTGGAGGATTTTGGCTCCCAGCCTGGCGGCTCCCTGTCCCTGCCTGCGTGGGCAGTGTCCCCCCATGTGGCTGCTGAGCCTGCGGCAGCAGCTGGGAGAGGGATGGTGCACAGCCCTCAGGAGCCAGCACCTGGGGGTTTTGCCAAATTAAACAGTTCGATTTTATGCCGATGAGTGGATGGAGTCCAGGATTACACACGTGTCAGTCTCCAGCCTCTGAGGAGTGCCCGGGACGTGCCACCATGTCCCCACACACAGCGAACTGCAGCAGTGGATACGTACCTGGAGCTGCCCTGCTCCCCTTGGGGTGAGGATGAGTGTGCAGGCTGGAGGGATGAGGATGAGTGCGCAGCGGGATGGAGCGGCCGGCGCTGTAACGGGATTATCGTGTGAGCGCTCTCTCCATGCGATTATCTGCAATATCTCAATTGCCTAATGAATTTTTGTACAAATTCCTCCCCGGGAGAGTGTTTCACGCATGTTCAACATCAAAGCGGCGCAGCCGGCGAGGGAGCGCATGTTTCTTTAATGTGGGAGCGTTGTAGGGACCATGGGGTGCCCAAAGGCAGATTATAAGAAAATTAATAATTCAGGTGTAGGAAAGGTGCTGGTGAAAAGTTAACTCCTTCGGGGTGAGGCGCTGCCTTTGCTCAGGCACAGCCGGGGCCGGGCTCTCCGCTGCTGCCACCCCACACACTGACACTGGCTTGGCCACCTCAGGGGACAGCAGATCTCCGGGGGCCGTGGCAGTGATGGAGTGCACCCAACATGGGTCCCCCCTCCAGCAATGGGCTGGCATGCCACCAGCGTGGTGGCACTGTCACACTGGGAGGGCTGGTGCCAAGGGGCGCAGCCTCGTGCTGCCCTCCTGGACCCCCAAAGCCACCCCCTGCCCCTCCCACAACAGAGGTGACCCCCAGCTCCACCATCACGGGGGGACCTGTTATCCAGCGGGGGGTGATGGCATCCGCACTGTCCCCTCCCAGCAACACCGTCCTCGTCCCTGCTGCCAGAGGAGGTGACTGTCCCTGGGCACCCAGCAGCAATCCCAGAATGGCGGGGGGGGGGCTCCTCGGGGCACCCATCGAAGGCTCC